CCCTGAGCCTGCCGCCGCTGTCACCAAGCTCACCGCTCCTGAGGATGACTCGGGGCGGAACCACTGTGCCACCCAGCGGGACCCTGTGGGGCTGGGGGCCGGCACCCCTCCTGGTAGCCCCGTGCGGACCTGCGGGCCCTTGACGGACGAGGACACAGTCAGGCTGCGGGCCTGCGAGAAGCGGGTACGAGTCTCAGTCGGGCTCCTGTCAAGGACAGAGCCAGTGCAGTTCATGAAGTCACATCCACGTTCCTCTTCCAGACACCGGGCTTTGTGGGCTGTGCCCTGGCGTTGCTCCCAGCTGGAACGTCCCTCCTCTGGGCTCAGCCCTCATCAGGTTCCGGAGAGGCAGGAAAGACTAGACACATAATCTCAGTCCTGGAGGGTCGGGGCAGGCAGAGGACAACGTGGGAGGCTTCCCGAAAGAGCGGGCATAGCAAGTGGGGCTTTGATAATGGAACAGAAGCTCTTCGGGAATGGCAAATGTGGCATAGAGAGTATTCGGCACGTGTAGAGAGGCCCAGGAGTGAAGAGGTGCCAGGCTGGGCAGGCAGAGTAAAGCATTCCTAGACTGGAGGGAAAGGGAGCCCGGAGGTCTAATGGCTCGTCCTCTTTCTCTCTAGCTGGACATTGGCGGCAAACTGTACCTGGCCCCACTCACAACGGTAGGACCTGGCTGCGGCCTCAGTGGTGTGGGGGTTGCTGGGGACACTGGTGCGTCCCACCTGTGGGTCTCAGGCAGGGTGGTGTCTGGGGTCCCTGCCTGCCCCTCCTGATGTCCGCGTGCCTGTGTCCGGTGACCCCAGTGCGGGAACCTACCCTTCCGGCGGATCTGTAAGCGCTTCGGGGCGGACGTGACGTGCGGCGAGATGGCCATGTGCACCAACCTGCTGCAGGGCCAGATGTCCGAGTGGGCCCTGCTCAAACGCCACGCGTGCGAGGACATCTTCGGAGTCCAGGTTCGTGCCGTCCCCTCTTGGCTGTGGGTGGCATCCATATCTGATGGCCTCAAAGATCAATGCCTTCCGGGGTGGCTGGAGGGGGCGGTGCTGGCTTAGATCCCCCCAGTGGCCGGGAGTGAAGGGAAGGCACCGTTCGGCCTGGCCCCGCCTCTGTCCCCCGCAGCTGGCAGGCGCCTTCCCAGACACCATGACCAAGTGTGCGGAGCTGCTGAGCCGCACCGTCGAGGTGGACTTCGTGGACATCAACGTCGGCTGTCCCATCGACCTTGTGTACAAGAAGGTAGCATTTGCAGCGTCCTGGGGTGCAGCCTTGTGCCCGGCTGCGCTGGGCATGGTGCCTTGGTATCCCCATTTGGGCAAGAAGGGGCTGAGCCTGCTGGTGGCATGGCGGGGCGGTGGTTCGGATGCCCATGTGTGACCGGGGAGGACTGAGTGGCCTTTCCTCCCAGAGACCCCTGGGGGTGCGCGGGGCCTGGGGGACCTGAGCGGGGCCGGGACACCCGTGCAGCCTTGTGCCCGGCTGCGCTGGGCATGGTGCCTTGGTATCCCCATTTGGGCAAGAAGGGGCTGAGCCTGCTGGTGGCATGGCGGGGCGGTGGTTCGGATGCCCATGTGTGACCGGGGAGGACTGAGTGGCCTTTCCTCCCAGAGACCCCTGGGGGTGCGCGGGGCCTGGGGGACCTGAGCGGGGCCGGGACACCCGACACCC